GATGAGTGGTTGCGTCCACCAATTGGTCGATTCTGGGCAAAGGGAAACAATCCTTGGGATAGGCTTTATTTAAGTCAGCGAAGTCCACACAGACGCGTTGCGATCCATTCGTCTTCTTCACAACCACGGTATTGGACAACCATGTGGGATAAGTTACTTAACAAATTGCTCCAGCCTCCAGAAGCTTGTCGACTTCGGTAACCATGGCCGAAGTATGCTCAGTTGCCGATTGTCGACTCCTTTGAATGATTGGTTTGACTTTGGGGTCGACATTTAAGCGATGTAGGGCCACGTTAGGGTCCACTCCCTGTATCTCGTATGGTGTCCATGCAAACACATCAATATTGTTGAATAGGAAGGAAACCAACTCCCACCACTCGACTGTATCAAGCCAGGTGCCAATCAAGAAGAATTTGTCGGGTTCCTCTTTGATTCCAATTCGTTCAAGGTCTTTAGTGGCCTTGTCAATGGGGGGGTTTTCCAAGATCCTCAAGGCTTGCTCGGTTCAAAACTTTAATCGAGTTCATTTCAAGTTCCCTTGGCTTTTTCATCGATGCAGTGAGGTAGCATTCCTTTGTCGACTGCTGAGAACCTCGAATTTGATCAATGTCGTGTTGTGTTGGGAAGCAGAGTAACTGATGGAAAATGCTTGGAATTGGCCTGCATTGCGTGCAAACAGGTTCTGTCCATGATTATATTGTATGGTGATGGAAAGTGCTTGGAATTGGCCTGCACTGTGTGCAAACAGGTTCTGTCCATGATTATATTGTATGGTGATGGAGGCTTGACGACTAGGAATTCTATGCCAGTTGATCTAGTGCCTACACGCACTGATAATGTGATTTTTCCCAAAAGGTATTCGAGATTGGCGTTGAAACCGAACAAGGGGTATGTGGCCAGTAAGAGGTCCGAATTAGTGAAGCCGAGCTTAGGAAATGTCTTGTGGTATATTATCTCTGAGGTGCTTCCCTAATTGATCAGAACGCGTTCGACGACAAATCTGTTTACGCGCAACTCGATGATAATGGCATCATCGTGGGAGAGGGTCACCCCCTTCAAGATCAACGTCCTCGAAGCTAATCTTGCTGGTTTCATGAGGCCGTTTGGCTAGTGTGCGCGTCTTGGATGAGCAGGGTTGTAGCTGAATAGTATGTATGTGGTTTGGCAGCGAAAGACTATATATCATATGAATCACACCAAGTGGAGGTGAGTCTAGGCATAGAGCCACCGTGTTTGGTGGATTGCCCTTGTGGGGGATATGTTAAGCCAGTCAGCCATCTTGTACCAACTCCTCAAGATGCTCCTTCAGAGTGTAGCATCTATCTGTCTCATACCCGTGGTCCTTGTGGTATTCACACTGTCAATCCCTCCGTCTTGTGTCAGGGGGCCCAATCATCTTGGCTAACCACTTAAAAAACGGTAGATGCTGGATTTTAGGTAACATCTTGCTGATCGGCTTGGCCAACTTCATATACTTCTTGTCCGACTACCTGGGGCTTCTGCTTTCCACTTGATATTGCTCACTTGAGCGGCTTGAACACTGTTCACTAGATCGACGAGACTCTCGGCGATTCATTCATTTCGCCCGGCCCCTCAGTTTAGGGCTCCTCTCTGGTGGTGCAGCACTTATCGGCTATACTAGGGTAGGTGACGCCGTCTCCATAGCCTTTTGTCTGGCTTTAATGCAGAGGGCATCATCTCCCACCTTGCAATACTCCTCAACCTTCTTCATTAGTGTCTAGACTATTTTGGGTGACCATCTAGTCAACAAGCTTCTGAGCGAACTATCGGGGTGTAATCCCATCTTAAAAGCGATGATGGCCATGGAATCATTGTAGGCATCGTCTACCAGGTTGAAACATTCCTAATAACGAGCCAAGTATTCACAGAGGGTCTCTTCCGACTTGTATCGGCTATACTGGGGTAGGTGACGTCGTCTCCATAGCCTTTTGTCTGGCTTTAATGCGGAGGGCATCATCTCCCACCTTGCAGTACTCCTCAACCTTCTTCATTAGTGTCTAGACTATTTTGGGTGACCATCTAGTCAACAAGCTTCTGAGCGAACTATCGGGGTGTAATCCCATCTTAAAAGCGATGATGGCCATGGAATCATTGTAGGCATCGTCTACCAGGTTGAAACATTCCTAATAACGAGCCAAGTATTCACAGAGGGTCTCTTCCGACTTGATTTGCATTGCCCAGAGGGAATCAATTTGCTTTGGCTAGCTCTCATTGGTGATGAATCTCACCCTGAAGGATTTTTGGAGCTGATGGAAACTTTTCACTGAGGCTGGCTCGAGTTTGTAATACCATCTTACGACCAACGGTCCCAGGCTACTGGGGAACATTCGGCACATAAGTGCTTCAACATTGGTATGCAATGTCATCGCTTGCTTATAATGACGAATGTGATTCGTAGGATCTGATTTTCCATCATACAAAGTAAACGTCGATGCTTTGAACTTTTTAGGCAATACGACCCTTGGAATGCGTTGTACGAAAGGATCGGATTTGTCTTCTACATCCAAGCCATCATCTCATTTTCCTCGCCTATACTGCACATACGGACTTCCCTCAGATGAGTTGGATGTGTTAACTCGCCCTTTTTTCCTAGGCTCCTGAGATGATGAGTCAGAGGTGCTACTGTTGTAGTGTCTTCAATGCTGACGCCGTCGATTATCCTTCTTCTCTAGCGACCAACCTTGATCATGATGTGATACAGTCTATTGGGAGTTTGCTAATTCCAGAGTCAATTCTTTATGTAGACATTCGTTATCAGCCACCATATCTTCCAGATGTTTATTTCGCTTTGCTTGGTCCATCATCGTCTACATAGTTTCCTGCACCAAGGTCTAAGGCAAGGATGGAGCTATCGGATCAAAGTTCAAGGATCTTCGTACAGTGATATTTTTTGAACCAAACGTTGTTTGGTGTAACGTCGTCCTTAACGAGCGAAGGATCGTCTATTATGTCTGCCATGGACAAGCTTGAGTATTCCCACAGAAGGCGCCAATTATGCTGAAAAGGATTTGGAAATACTCTCTCTGATCAAGCCAGACGTTCGTGATCCTGGAGGCGATACCTGAAATAGGAACAACTGTTCCAGTTGGGGGTGCCAGAATTAGTACTCTGACGAGCAAGTTAGTCTTTTCTTGATTTTACTTTACTCACAAGTTATCTGATATTTTTCACATACCTCTATTTGATCAAGGCTCCTCCTTTTATATTATTCTCCAAGGCCCATTTCCTCTTTTCAGACATCCTGACTTCGTAGTTGGGCCCCCGCGTGACCCATGAGATATTTGGCTAAGTCGGCCCTTCAGCTTGATTCTATTCGATTTGTCTACGGCCTTGTTTCCATCGGCTACGGCCTACTTGCCACGTGGGCTTCTGGTTTGGGCCGACTTGTCTACGACCCTATTCTCATCAGCTATGGCCTACTTGCCACGTGGGCTTTTGGTTTGGCCCAACTTGTCAACGGCCCTGTTCCCAAATGGGCTTGCTTTTGGGCCTCCAATGTCATATATTTATTCGGCTCCCACACTCCGCTACGGCCAAACTCTCACTACAAGAAAAAGCGTTTTTGGCGACCAAAATTTCATTTTTCGTCGCTGAAAGTAGTACAAATGGCGACTAAAATGGAATTAGTCGCCAAAATTGAACACTTTTGCCGACTAAAACACTTTAGTCGCCGAATACAATGGTTTTAGCGACTAAAAGGCAGTTTAGTCGCCGAATGTAGGGGTTTTAGCGACTAAAGGCTGTTTAGTAGCCAAAAGTGACGATTTTTGGCGACTAAAATAATTTAGTAGCCAAAAGTGATGGTTTTGGCGACTAAAAAGCAAATTGGTCGCCGATTGTAGGTGTATTGCCGACTAAAAACAGATTGGTCGCTGAAAGTGAAGCTTTTTGGCTACAAAAAAAAAATTTAGTAGCTAAAAACTGAGTATTGGCGACTAAAATTCAATTTAGTAGCCAAAAGGGGACGTTTTTGGAGACTAAAAATAGGTTTCGTCGCCAAAACTGCTGATTTTTAATTGGAACTTCTTTTTTTAGTGACAAAAAAATAATTAGTAGCCCAAAATAATAGAATTGGCGACTAAATAATGGTTTTAGTCGCCAAAAGTGGCCTAAATTTTTTTTAGTAAATAATTTATTTTTTACATAAATTATATTAAATTAAAAAAAATTATATTTATAAATATTATTTTGTATTAATAGCGGTTAATATACCATATAAATAACATATATTGCATATATATTAATGTGATGGTGTAGTGGCATAGTGGAGGAAGCGTTTGGCAAAAAGTTTGGACTGTGGTGGTCGGATGTCTCAGGTTCGAAACTTGGAAGCAATTGGTTCAAAATTTATTTTTTTTTTCAAATATGCTTTTGGCGACTAAAACAGGTGGTCGCCAAAAGCTTTAGTATTGGCGACCAAAAAAATAGTCGGCAAATATATAAATTAAAAAAAAAACATTTACTATTGGCGACTATAAATGAGCTTTGGCGACGAAAATTTTAGTCGCTACAGAGTTTGTTTTTGGCGACTAAAAGTGGATTAGTCACCCATACCTTCCGCGACTGTTTTCCAGCGACAAACATGGCTACTAAAAAATTTAGTCGGGAAAAGCTGAAACCTGACTTTTGGCGACTAAAACATCACTTTTGGCGACTAAAAATTTAGTCGCCAAATATATATTTTCTTGTAGTGTCTGTCTATGTCATGCAGAGAGAAAATTTGTTCACAAGATAAACAATACACACCATCTCATTGATTGAACCTATGAAGTGATCCTACTAAAAGTACAAAATAGAACAATGAGGTGGTGTGTATTGTTCACATGTTTAAGCAAATTTTCCCTAAGAAAATAAAGCTACGTTGTGCATATATAACTCACAATACAACATGCGCTAAGTAAGAAAATGTCTTATCCACCAAAACAACCCAGAGTTTAGGGTACAAGTGTGTTGAAATAAATAAGAATTTGTTTACCCACCTATGAGTGCATTGGTCTACTAAATCCGTATTTTTAAACCTCTGTTGACTAGCAAATCTCCAATCCTGCAAAATTGCAACTTACTATCAGCATTTGTATTTATACAACAAAATTGAGACCTCCAAAAATAAAATATAAAAAAACGGAGAGAATGTTACTCAAAAGGAGGACAGTATTATATTTGGGGTTTCAATATTTCTATAGAAATATCTCCTACAATTGTTTATGTAAAGTAGTTGACGGTAGATGCGATCTAACAGTAGATGAAAGTGTTAGAAAAATGGACAAATTTAGATTGACAAAGGCTAGTGTAATAAATAGAAATATGAACCTCCTTAATTTGATTAACGAAATAGCATTGGATAAAGTCGAAAGGGGAAGAAGGATTCATATAACCGATTCAATTTGATAGGACCTATGATTTGATTTGGTTTGGTTTGGATTGGTTTAGCTACCCCAATGTTTGCTAAAGCATTGTTTATTTATTTTTAGTTTTTTCGTTATTTTTTTTTTTTTTTAGCTGAGTTTTTTTGGTGATGGTGTTGCGGCTTTTTTTTAAAGTTTGAAATCCATTCATTTTGAATCTCATAGCATTTGAAGTTAAAAAATTAGATTGAGGCATAGTTTGGGAAGACTAAATAAGTGTACTTTTTGACTTTTTATGAAATATGGGTTGGGTTTGAAGTGATGTGTTAGAGAGGTGATGTGACTTAAATAAGATGATAAAAAATGAATAAATAAATAAATAAAACTAAGTAATTTATATATATATATATATACTAATACATATATGCATGTACATAATATATAAATTTCATATAATATATATTAATAATTAGGCCTAATCAGACTGGACTACAAATAACATTCTCAAACTCAACTCATTTAATAAACATGCTTAAAAAGTCATTTTGACTTTATCCTAATAAATGGATTAGAATGGCCAAGCCAATGGGTTCATATCCACCCCTATCAAATCTGCTTTCATTTTTACATCAGAGTCTTTGGCCTAGTAGTTGTGTAACACTATTTTATAATGTGAGATTATGAATTCAACTCTTATAAAGAAAAGTTTGATACTTGTGGTGTTTATTTATCCCCCATTATGAAAGTTCTATGTAGCTAATTGCAGTTGTTGGGTTTGGGCTTAGATTTGGTGATCGATTGTTGGGCTTAATAATTGTTGATTTTCTAACTATTGTTAGGTTCATGGTTGTTGATATAATAATTCTTATATTTGTAATTATTCTTTAATGTGTTATGTGGGTTTTGACTAAAGTAATACTATACAAATAATAATAAAAAAAAATTATAAATTTTGATCAAATATCAAAATTTTGTTACTACACCCTACATTGGCTTTGTTTCGTGCAATTTATTATAAGTTAAAAATTAATAATTACAAAATAGAAACTAAAAGTACTCATTTTCTAACTTTCAAATAATCAGCTTTTGTTAGATTATTTAACTTATTTGCACTTAATAAACTGTAAATAAAAGCTATATTAAACAGTCGGATACAAATTTTTAAATTTAAATAAGTTATAATCAACTTCTTGCAGCAAACAAAGCCATTAGCTTCTACAAAAAAATTTGTTTGAGTAGTTTTTTTTTTTTGAACTATTACTGTGACAAGAAAGGGAAGAAATTGTTACCAGGTCATAAATGAGTGCACCCCAATCCTGTTGGTCAGTGAGATTGCATTTGAGAAGCTCTTTTCTGACTAAACTAACTCTTGGGTTCCCTTTCCAATAAGCGTAGGGTATTCTATCAATCCACTTCACTCTCTGGTTGCCTTCTTCTAGATCCTTACTAAGGGCTTCCCATGGCTTTATCTGGAGCTCTGGCCTGCCAGAGACCAAAAACCTCTAGATTACAAGCTCAAAAATCTTATTTAAAAATATCAATATGTTGTCCAAATTCATCCTATACATGGTACTCTCATTCAATTTTCACCCTACACCCAAATTCTGAACACAAATTAGGTTCAAATTCTAAATTCCCTGACTTACTACAAAAGTATATAAAATTTGTTACAGCAATACTCTACCATTTAAGATGTGGGTCATTTTACGGTACAAATCCTCCACCATATGTAAGTAATGATATTTGTAGTGTTGATTACCACAAATGTTACAACTAAATTATTTTCAATCATAACTAAAAAAATTAATAATGAGTCATAACGAAACACTACATCAGGTATAACCAATTTTTTTTTTTTTTTGGATATAATCTAAATATTAATTACAATAAGTTATAACTAATATTATAATGAATCATAACTAACACTATAATGAGTCATAATCAAATCATAATTAATATCACAATAAATCATAACTAAACACCATAAATATTGTAACTAGAGCATATAGTACACATCTCCTTTTAGAATGTGTATCCTTTATATAAATAACAATATTATAAATTCAAAAAAAGATGTTAAGAATTTTTATTAAAAAAAAATTAAAAAGATGTTAAGAATTTAACATTTGGCCCGCAAGTCTCTCAAAAACAATGCGTTGGACAGGTGAGATAGTAGATCCAACATCCATGCATTGCATTTCTAGCACATGTTATGTATTTTTTTATTAAATATTACGTAATTTTTCTAATTGAGTTACGATAATTTGTGATTCGTAAATGAAATTATATGTTTTTTGTAATAATATTGTACATTTTGTGATTAAACAATGTTTCAATGAAAAATTGAATAATTTGTAATTTTATTTCGGAATCACAAAATATCATAAGTTTATTTGAAAATTACGTAACATGTACCAGAACAATATGTAATAAAGTGCATATACTATGGTACACACCCTTTAAAAAATGTATACTTCTACTTAAAATATAAATAAATAAATAAATAATAAAAGAGAATCTTTACCACCCCCAAAAGGACCAATCTGGAAAAACTATATCCAAAGTTGAATCACTCCCACAGTAGTGAAACATTGGAGTCACATTGTTGGTATTTGATCCGCCATAGTCTCTCTTTTGAATCACTGGCATGTCACCATACTCAAACATTATATCCAAATCTGGTAACTTTCCAGGATACAACCTCAGCAACTGTAATATGCCCCAAATACTGAACACATCTCTTGTTTGGAACGCCAACTTCAACTTCTTCCAATATACTCTTCCATTCACTATTACTATTCTTGCGTATGCTTTGCTCTCAGCACTTTCTACCATTTCTTTGGTAATTCCATTTTCCTTCCATGGATTTAGGTCTTGGTGGATCCATTGGAAGTACTCCGGGCACACTTCGAACGATGAGGAATCGCCCGATTTGATTGTCGCTAGAGAATGTACTGGACATGTGATGGAGCAATTGATTCTGTCCGGATATATGTCAGAACTATTGGAGGATAGAATTGTCTTTTGAAATGAAATATCTGAAATAACATACTAAAAAAACAACTAATAAGGAAGATGAATATATATACACGCTAATGATAGATGCAAACATAATGTGTTTACATTTATATATATAAATTTATGAATAGTTTAATAATTGACAAAACTGATTAACAATTTCGCACGATTTTGATGAAGGAGAAAATTTATTTTGCAAGTCATTGGATGTACCTAGGTAGAAAAGTAAAGAGAGAAAAAGACAAAAGGAGTAATGGAATAGATTCATACTTCCACAAGTCATTAATGAAAAATAAAAATAAAAAAAAAGAGTAAATTGCACTACTAGTCCATATAATTTGATTCTTCAATTAATTTGATCTTTATAATTTAATTGAATCAATTTTAGTTTTGAAAATTTCATATTTTGTCAATTTTGTCTAATTAATAATACTTTTAGAAATTAGACTAAAATTGAGAGACAAAATATTTCATTCACTCACTCACTCTTCCCAAAATAATTGAAACATTTTCAAGGAGCTTCTGTTTACAACACACGCACGATTTGCTTACACCCCTTTCCTAATTACACCCTCTTTCAAATTATGATTTTTACACTTTATCTCATTACACTCTCTTTAATCCCAAAATTATTCCCGTCTCCAACTTCTTATCCTCTCTTTACACCCTTAATATTCCAAACTGTAACTCAATAGCCACCACCTCTACTCCGTTGCCAACCACCTCCAGTAGCTTTCCCAACCCATGACCACCCCCCGCAACCCCATCTTTGACGACCAACAACTTTGCTGACCCCCAATCACCTCAAATTAGGGTTTATTTTTTTAGGTTTTAGTACTTTTTTGGTAATTTTGTTTAGGGATAGAATTGTAATAAAATAAAATAAATAAGAAGGGTAAAGAGATAATTTTGTTGTGTAATGGGAGAAATTCTATTTTCACACACTTAATTATTTCAATGCACATACTTAATGAAATATTATTTTAATGACAATTATACCCTAAACTAAAATGACCATAATGGATATCCACTAGCACCCATAATATTATATGAAAATATTCTTTGTACACATCTTTGAAGGGAAAAAAAAAATAAATAAATAAAATCTCAATGTACACGTTTTGAGTTTAAAAAAAAAAACTAAACCCTAGTTTTTCTATTGTTATCATTTTGCTTGTTACATACTCTATACTTCTCTATTGCTTGCAAAGTAATACTCTCATAACAACTCTCATATTGTTTTAATCTCTAGATTTATACTCTATTAGTGATGAAAATGTTAGTTTTTTCATGCAAATTGTTTTTTTCTTGTTCGTTTCGCGGTAGTGCCGAATTATTTCATTATATTCAGACATCAATTGCCGAATTATTTCATTATATTTGGACATCAACTATCAAAAGTTTTTTTTATTTCTTTTTGGGAACAAATTTGTTGAACTAATCACTTTTATTCGGAAGTTAAGTTTTGAATTAAATGTATAATTTTTCAAAAACCAGTGCCAAAATCTCCAAACTGAAGAAAAAATAAATTAATTAAAAAACAAGGGTTTTATGACAATGGAGTGCACAGAAATCTAGAAATAATAAATGCAATAACAAAATGAAAAGATGTCACATCTTCAACAATATTTTGGAAGGTTTTCAATAATATTTTTAATGGAGGTTCAATAGGGTCTTTAATAGAGGTCTTCAATAGAGGATTTTGTTTTCACTTCATACTACGGTCTTGAATGGTCTTCATGTAAGTCTACAATTGGTCTACAATCTAGAAGTAGAGTCACTGAATAAGTGTGTGAAAAAGAGAGTTGAGTGGTATGTGTACAATGATTATGAATGAAGGGTATAATTGCAACTTTCAATATGTGGATTGAAAAAATTAATTAATAATCAAAGTAATAAGAATGTGTACTAAAAAAAAATATGCACTAAGGTCATTGAATGTGTGAAAATAGAATTTCCGGTGTAAAAGCTCTTGGATAATTAGTTAGGGTGTCAGTATCCGCATTTCTGTCAGGTCCTATCTTAAATTCTCTCTTCCCAACATAATGTGAAAAATGAATTTTCTTTGGCATCAATTTATAAATTAGCTTCTTATCAGCTTGTTTTCATTTTTAGTGATTTTTTTTTATAAAAAAAATTATGTTAAAAAAACTACTTTGTAAGTCGGTCTAAACCAAACGATCCTCAAAATCAAATTTCTTTTAAGTTCACTAACAATGAAAATGAGCCAAATTTTGTTGAAAAATTTTATAAAAATAGGCATAAATTGTATTCCTAAGCTTTTTTTTCAAAATTTTTAAAATTTTTAGAATTGTCTGGACAAAACAAAAAAACAAAAACCTTAAAAATAACCAAACTAAAAGAACCCTCAATTTTTTTAATGAGAGTTGCAGCATCCATGGGTATGAATAATGCTTGAAAGATTGAGACTCTGAGCATGGAAATCATGTACACCTATAAAATAACAACAACATGCACCTCAAAGGATGGCTGTATGTGGGGGTACTTTTGCGAAGGCATCATTTTAAGTTTTCAAAATTCATTATTTAAGGAAAAATTATAAATCAGTGCACATAATTAAAAATAATTACAACCACACGGAGACTGCAATTGTTTATGTATAAAAAACATAGAAAAAATTGCACCGAAAGAAGATCTCACCCGCTAGTAAATAATTGCTCCACTTCCTACTAAATGGTAATTTCTTCTTATCTAAATTTTAAATATTACGAAAAATATTAGTGTGCAATGCATACAGTATGCGCCTTGTTATGCATTTTTGTAAAACATGTTATGTATTTTTTATGAAAAATATTTTGTGATCTTCTAGTAGAGTTGCGATAATTTGTGGATAAAAAATAAAATAACTAATTTTTTGGGGTAATGTTACCCATTTTCCCACTTTGGCTCTTAAATTTTTTTTTTCCCACTTTGGCCTTTATGTTTCAAATTTTTTCCAATTTACTCCTAAAACTAATTTCAATTCAAAATTAGACAAAAAATATCATAATAACTGTCACATAACATAACAAATATTTATTATATTGTGGTTGAAGTTCATATCAGAAATGTGAGTTATATATAACAAAATATTTTTATACTACATGACTGCTAATGTGCCATTTTTTTATCTTATTTTTAATAAAAATTAGCTTTCGGAGTAAACTGAGAAAATTTTGGAACATGAAGGGTTAAAGTGGGAAAGACAATTTTAAGGGTCAAAGTAGGAAAATTGCCAAGCATTGCCAATATCTCGTGAGGGTATAGAGGTTTGACATCTGGGTTAGGTAGTGATGACAACTTCTACTTGCTACACACTTGTTCAAGTGTAGAATGGATGTCAGCTATTGTGACACAGTGGTTCGGCTGGAAGGGACCCATCTGTCCTTCGGTAGGGGAATCGAAGGTCGTACCATTTGCCTAAAGGAATGCTAGAGGGTTTGGTACCTAGATCAGAGCCTAATTCTCCGGGAACTAGTTGGCCACGGGGTTTAGAGTCGCTAGAATACAAGGGGTTAAAAATGAACAACATTAATAGTATCACTTAGAGAGGCAAGGCCATGCTAACAGTCAATGATCTAAGGGTTAGAAAGTAAGTAACTGGTTGAGAGTAGAGCAAGCGATTTAGAAAGGAATATATAGTAGTAGAGAAATGGGCAGCACCTCTCCAAATCCCCAAAAATTCTCATTTTAAACCTTGGGAAAATGGGTTTATTTATAGGCATATCCTTGGTACTAAATACACAAATTGCTGAATAGAGTGATGACACGTGTCCTTAAGGATCACGCAGAATATTCCTTGTTCTAACCGCCAAGCTTTGGTGGGGACGTGTCCCTTGATATGGGTCATTTTTTGTGTGTACCTTAGAAGCTGCTATTTTTGGTACATTCCTTAGAAGGTGCTATTTTTGATATCTTCCTCGGTGGTACTTTGCACGACACTTCCTTACTCAGTACAATTTCCCCTAACATACCTTCTTGGGAATTATAGCCCGCTATCAGTCATACTTGCATCCACCTCAACAACTCCCTTACTTTTAGCCACCTAACTTTTCAGGGCGAAGCCCACAGCAAAGCCCGGACTCAGCTTATGTTGTGCCTCATACAAAGCCACAGGGGGTTTCATGGGTTCTGCCATTGCAACCGAGGCAAGTCCTTAGTTTGGGTAAATAGAAAGGGAATCCCTTACTTTTAGGCTGCCTTGCATCCATCTTCGTGGGAATCATGATTCTGATTTTTCGTAACATATTGGTACGTCTAGGGCCTGCTATCAGCTCCAATCAGTAAGCTTTATGGCCTGCTATAAGTGCCAAGCTAGTAATGCTTTTGCTATCACCCTAAGGAGTCTTGCCTCAGATAGTAGTGATTAAGGCTACTATCACATCAGACACTTCCCTCGAGGGGTATGCCTTAAGTACTTGTGCCTTGGAGGCAGGGCTGAAATGGTCTTCTAACAATGCAGTGCCTTAGTGAGTCACCTCAGATACTGGGCCATCATAGGTCTCACCTCAAATGGTTGCTTAATATAGTTCTACCATAGATGGTCCCTTCGAGTCCAATGGGTCTAACCCCATTTGATTCTTCTTTGGGCCACTTTCTTTAGGGTTTTGTCCATACTCCTTTAATTATAATTGCTCCATTAATGAGGGTGACTTTAGTGATTAAGTTATCATTAAGATTTTCGCCCTTCTACAAGCCTCAAAAAGGATGCAATGTGACTGTTGTGCCTTTGCACAGTTGTCACTATTGTGCACATAATGGGGCTCAATTGGGTTTCATTTTAATAATCCAAATTGTCACTTTTTAGAGTATATTGAATAGAATATACGTGTATAATTTCAAATTGATCAGATATGGGTAGACTTATGATCAGATTAAATTTGTATCTATAAAAATAAATGATTGGTGTAACTTTGATTATAAAATCAAATACAAATTTGATCCAATCATGGAGTTATCAATATTCAATTAATTTAAAATTTTACAAAAATATTTTATTTAACATATCCTAAAAACTGAACTATTATCGAGTT